AGGACCCAACTTTTTAGTACAATTTCAAGTTGCACTGTTCAAAATACCTGTAGTAGCACAGCAGTGCATACCGGTTTACATTTAATTAAGGTGGACTAGATTAGACTGTAATACAAATTATGGGTGCTCCGATTGATCGGCTACCGATCACTATCGGCTGATAATCACATTGGGATGATTGATCGGTGGTCTCTAAAAGGGCCGATCTCAAAAAAACGATCTCAAGCTGATGACGCTGCCGTGAGAGGTTTGGCATGACATGACATCTCAGTCTCTGTCCGGCGCGGGTAAAATAATTATAATGCTGAAGGTCGGTTACTCACGTTCATATTTCTTAATTAAATAACTTATAAAGTAATTTGAAAACCTTGTGTGAGACGTAATTTCACAAACAGCGTGAGTGAATCAGCGCGTGCGCTCTCTCTCAAAATATGCAAATGTCTTCAAATCACCACATCGCGTCTGTCTATAAGCGAGCTGCACAGTTGACATAGGAATTGTCACTAGCACAATCGAGCCAGTGTCACATCGTCACTAAAGTTTATAAATTGCATTACTTTTTATTTCTTGCCAGTGTTTAACCATTCAGCGCTCGCGCGCTCAGACCGAGTCTATCGCTGCGCTGCAAGCCCTGAATTAACGTAACAGTGCATTTTTGCAGTAAATATGAACATGGATTGACACGAAAATGTAGTAATTACACCATAAACGCATATTATTAAAGTCTACTGTGTTTCACAATCAACACATATGGCTTGTTGGCTAGGTTTAAAGGGAAAGAGCACTTTTAGACAGTGCTTAATTTGTAAATTGCGGGGTCCCGGAACAAAATGGGGTGACGGATTATGGGCTTACATTTCTGCCACAATTCTGCGCGCGAAAGATCATATTTTGAGCGCACAAAAGTGCATTTTGCACACGCGCGATCTGGGTTTGTGGAGAAAATGTTCGTTTCGCAAAGAAAAAAGTATTTCGAGCGCACGGAAATCAATTTTGCATTTAAAATACGTTTTTGGATGTGTGCAGACCTCTTTTGTGCGTGCAACGTTTCACTAGCTTGCTTACCTGATGCCCGCCCTCTGTGCTCGCTAAATGCCCACAGCTCGCGTGCTCAACACAACCCAGCG